GTACTCGGGGACCTCTAGTGATCAAGACTAGGGTAAAAATCTGCCGAAGTTCCCCTTTAAGCCCTTTGTGTGTGATCAGTTTCCTAATAATGTTTGTGCAGCATCATACATCTGTACACTATGTGATGTTGAATTGATTGCGTAGTCTGTGATTTTGTTCCAAAGATGAAGTTGGGATGTGGAGCTCCTCAGCTGGCCTGGAGTCACATGACTGGCAGCCGCGCTCAGCACAGATCGAGATGGCCTCTTATGTGCTGCTGGCTCTTTTTAAGCGCGGCAGCTTTGTGGACGGCTTTGTGCTGATGAAATGGTTGAGCAAGCAGAGAAACCATCTAGGAGGCTTTGGGACGACACAGGTGACACTGCACCTTTTTCTGTTACTTGAGAAACTGATGTTTCAACTATACAGCTGGAAATACAATAAGACCTGTTTGTTCAGTTCATTGTAAACTAGGGAGAACTGAGAGACATTTTAACATCTTCATGTGTAAGGTGTTAAAATGCTTACCTGCACTTCACTGGTCAAGTTGCTCCTTGCTGTCGAGTATTGACCTGAGTTGAGATTTTGTGCATTTTGTCTGATTTTCCAGTAGTGTTCTTGAGTTTAAACTGTCAGTAACAGTCAGTTGGAACATGCCAATTTCATAATTATCTTTTATGCAAACTTACCATAAATTGTACATCCAGTTTGTTAATTAATTGGGAAAGTTTTAACTTTCCTTCTGTGGTACCATATTGCAAAAATATGCCCCAGTTCTGCACCAAATGATATATAAAATGATATAATTCAGACGCAGGTATTTTCTCTTCCTTCTTCCTCAGGACACAGTAGTTGCCCTCCAGGCTCTCTCCTCCTATGCTGCCTTCAGTGGTTCCAGCGCCATTGACCTCAGACTCAACATATCTTCCCCAACATTTGTGTCACAATTTTACATCAACAACTCCACCTATCTGACGTATCAGAGCCAAGAGGTAATGGATATGGATGAAATCCCATGCTTGTTGTCATTATACATTATTTGATATATTGGATAATTTATATGATGCTTCATTGTAATTCTGGACTTTATTTTCCTGCTTTTACTTTTTGTTTTTCAGATTAATACTGACAAAGATCTAAACCTAAATATATACATGGAAGGAAAAGGATTTGCAATAATTCAGGTACAGTTATACATTACATTCTGCTAAACCTATCCACAAGGAAACACCAAAACTATCCTTCACAATGCAGGAATGTTTTCATACGTTCATTTAACAACATAAAGAATAGTTCAACAACTGGAGCATGACCAGAATAAATTGAACGCAGCAGCTGTGCAAGATAACTTCACCCAGCACAATGTACTGCATTGTAAATGCTGAACCAAAACAGCTAAATGCAAATGTAGCATGATAATGGACTCCCAGCAATTAACATCTGGAAGACATACTGCCGCTTGAAGTCCTGTCTGCGTTTAGTGTGTCGAGATAATATCACCCAGAGAAGGTGAAAGGTTAATCTTTTCACTGTGTTCAATATTATAACCTGTTGTCTTCTATTGCAGACCCCCTCTGTTACACATCCTGTTTTTAAACTCCTGTGATTCAATACTTTATGTTAAGACAAGTAAACATAGAGATTCAATATTTATTTCATTTTTGCTTTATGGAAATGGCTGTTGTCTCAAGACTATAACAGATTGTGTTTCTTGACCTTGAGGCATTTGCGCTCAATCATCTATATCACAGAGTCATATAATCTCTGGCTATCGGGCAGTACAGTAAACTTTATCTCTTCACCACTAAATCTAAGTTTACATTTAAAACATCTTTTATACTTCCAGATGAATATCTTTTACAACCTGGAGAGCGAAGCATTTTTACAGAACCTCCAGCATGCCACAGACCATGAGGCTTTCTCGCTGGATGTGGAACTTACTAAAGAAAGAGACTACAATCACATGCTGTTGTCTATATGCACAAAGTAAGTACTACAACACAGATATCAGATGTAAAATATTCTTTAAAGCAAGGGACTCAAACCATATGACCTCTTGCTTTTGTCCTCTCTAGATTAAAGGACAATCAGGGGATACCTCTCACAGGCATGGTTATATTGGATGTGGGCATGCTCAGTGGTTTCAGTCTCTCTCCTGGAGCTGCCGCCCTATCAGATCTTATCAGAAAGGTGGAGATAGTTCCTGAGAAAGTCAGCCTCTACCTAGATTCAGTAAGTGTTTCATCATTTCATCATGTCGTGGGTCAGGCATGAAAGCTGGGCCACATTGTAGTTAGTTACATAAACATTTTGTTAAACCAAAACCGCTAGAACAATTTCTTTATTGGTCATGTTAAATCCTCATCGATTGTTTATGCTTTGACATTTTTCTTATAAAATTTGTTTCCCAACATGATGGTTTGAATTATGTTTCAAAGCCTTCACCACTCTGCCAAGAATGTAACTGTGCTGGGGGATTACAGAATACCTCTTATTTTATTTCAGTTGTATTCATTCATTGCATGAAATCAGTTTTAAAGGTCCAGTGTGTAATGTGTAAGGGGCTCTATTTACAGTGTCTGGCAGAAATGGAATATAATGTGCATACAATGTTTTTTTTAGTGTGTAATCACCTGAAAATAGAAATTGTTATGTTTTTATCTCCTCTTCCATGGAGTCTGCTGTGTTTCTACAGTAGCCCTGAATGGACAAACCAAACACTCACTCTGGATAGGGCCTTCTACATTTTTAACGGGTTTTGCGGCCACCATAGTTTCCCCTAAATGCTTGGTTGAGTCAAGTGGTTTCAATTAGTTGCCATCTGCATTCTCCTGGTGAGATGCACTACATCCTACACACTGGTCTTTTAAGCTGAGTCTAGAAATATCAAAATAAGCTTTCAAAGCCCATCATGTGTAACGTCTGTCATTTTTGAATGTAAATTCTTCCTCAGGTCATTAAAACATTTCCCACATTCCCAGTACTACTGAGAACATGACCTCTGTGTCCAAAATGTTAGCGGTTAGTTAGCTTGCAGGATCATAAATGTTATGGCCATGAATGAGAAAATAAGTGATTACCATATTACCAGTTGTAGTTGTACTGTACACTTGCCACTACCCTCTATTAGTACAGGCAGCCTTGACTAAAGGAAATAAAAGGAAGACAAAAAGGTTTTCAGTTAAAGAGATTTTCCTCTTTTAATGGAGTATGAATTAGACTTTATTTACAGTATGTAGGACAATATTGGCTCCTGTGAGTTGACTTAAGGAGATTTAATTTTGCACTTCTCACTGATTTTTCTCCTCTCACCACTCGCTTCTTAAATTCATTTAAACAATTCCTAGATTTCCTACATCAAATATTTGCATGAACATATAAAAGAATAAGACAAGTAAGTGTTATATTGTTTTTTGGTCCCATTTGCAGCTTAACAAATCAGAGGTTTGCATCAGACTTCCAGTCGTCAGAGATTCCAAAGTGGCCCACATACAAGATGCCGTGGTGCAGGTTTACGACTACTACGAACCCAGTGAGTACAGCTGTTACTGTTTTACAGTGCTGTATAAATTTATGTAAAATGTTTTTTAAAGTACAAACCTGAAACCATGCTGTTTTAGCCATGATGCTATTAAAGTGTGTTTTGTCCTGTGTTGGACTGGCAAAAGCCAAGTTCATGAAACATGTCAGGCATCATGTACTGATTATCATAGTATCATGTGATTATTCTCCTTGTCTCACAGCGAGAAAAGCAATGAGAACATACAACTCAGATGATCTGCACGACATGAACTCCTGCTTCTTCTGTGGGGAGGACTGTGACCGCTGCAGGCCAGGAATCGCTATTGCAGTGTCCTCCCCTCTGTTATCGCGCTCTATAAGCAGCGCCACCTACAGCTTGATTTGCCTGTTTCTTGGAGTCCCTGCCTTTTTTATTGTAGTCTAATTAGAATGAATTATACCTAAGATATAATAATTAGATGTGATGAATATACTTGAGACTATGAGACATCATTTTAGCATGTACACACATTGTTTTACACAATGTTATTCTTCTTTTATAATTTCTTGACAAATGATGTAATGTGATATTTAGAGGCCTGTTTGCATGCTGCTCTTTTGCTTAGTGCACAGATTTTAATTTTTTTTGGACAGAATGTGAAATTACTGTCTTTGGAAACCAATCTCTTCAAATTAATTTATCTAGTCAGCCTACGACTGGGTTTGATACTTTAGAAAACAAATAAAATATATTTTTTTTAGTTCATGAAACCTACCATTTTCCATATCCTTCCATGAGAGTGTTGACCAGAATAGAAAGTTTGATAAAGAACGCATGTACAGTTGGCAGCAGAACAAATAAAAAGGATTTTTTTCTCAGTTCCATGTGTGTCCTGTTGTCGCCATTCTGGCAGAAAGTTCAGACATGTTCTGCAGTCTGAAGCAATATGAAGGCTAAAATAAGATTTATTCTACAGCTCTACTGTACTTTCCAGCCAATGACTGACTGTGGGCTTTAATATGTTTTTGCTCATGTTGATATAAAACAGTCCTGCTTGAGTGAACCAGACCTCACAGAGTTGGGGTATATATATGGCACTAAGGAGCAAAAGGATCTTTTAAGATCATCTGGAGTGAGATAAAGTCTACCTTACCCCCTCTGCCACGTCATGAAAGCTGAAGGAATGCAGACTGACCTGCAGAAGTATGCAAAGGGAACACGCACACATACATGTAAGCCATCACCGGAGAGTAATCAGGTTTGACATCGTGGCCATATCATGAAATATAAGTCCTCTCTAAGACTTCAGCCTACTGTGTTCAGTCCATGGCCTGTTTAATTTTGTACAACAAACATTTTGCACCATGTTCACCTGAAAAACCACAATATTGAAGTTTAGTCTCCACATACAGTAAATGGAAGCATAATGAAAACCAGTAATGTCAGTTAAATAATATTGGTTAGGGAATTTCCAAACTCCCCCAGACAGTACTGTTTGAATGGAAGACTATGGATGTTTTTACCAAAGTTAAATAGTTTCAGTAAACGTCTACCCTGTGGAAGTGTTAGTCAAGTCGCTGAATATCCATTAGCACTGATTCGTTCACTGGGAGTCAGCTTCACTCTACCCTCAAAAATATGCTGTCTTGATGTTTTTTGTTTTAATAGCAATGCATGTCTGCTTTTTATGTGTAAGATGTTTTATAAGGCTCATTTGGCAAAGCAATTTCCCTCAAGGGACAATAAAGCATTTTGTTTATAAGCAAAAGCAGACATGGAATGAAGCTGAGAATATGAGTTACACAAAAAGCAAATAAATACCTCAAACTTACAAAATTTTAACCTTTAATTTTTGCCTTCAATTTAATGTCACAAATGGTTAATCCTTGCTACAAGGCCTGCCTAAATTGCCTATTCCCTACTTTAAAATAAAGTGAATCCTTCAGTAAAGTTACAGCGACATGTAAAAAGCAACAAAACTGCAGCAAAGACAATTAGAGCCTCCACCTTTAGAAGATTTACTGTGAAAATGGATGTCCTAAACTCTGACCACATGTAACCGCACTGTCTCTTCTGCTAGTATCTACAGTGTTCACATATGTTGTTGGTATAAGACATTACCTTATATAAGCATGTTGCTCTGACTGTTACTGCCCGCCAGGAGCTCACTGGAGTTTAAACAATGTCAGAAAAATGGGAGAGCACACACATACACACACACACACACACACACACACACACTCACATTATGGATAGATGGAACACATTTGGCAACTATACTTCCACAGTCACCTCAAAGCTGAAATAAAGCAATTCCATATACTTTCCATAAAAATGCAGATTGTTTTTCTAATGGCTCTTTTCCTAGTATTTTGGTTCACAAAAAGCGGAAAACCTGCAGTGCCAGACTCACTAACACTAGATGGCAGGCTTGGTAACATAATAGTGACAGTTCGAAGCTTAGCTGAGCTCTCAAGATCTTATAAACTGATCCTATCACAAACAGGAAATACATTTGGTCTACACACTTTACATATCTGTGATTAAATAATAAGACCGTTGATGTTATTACTAAGTACAACAAGTGTTTATCATGTGAGGAGGATGTGACGTAATGGATAATATTTACTCTTCAAAGAGTCCAGCAAGGATGCATTTTAGTTTTTGTGATGTATGGAAAAATTCAAACTGGTCAGTTGCATCTGAGAACTTAATTGCCTGTAAACAATGGTGTCATTTCATTGAACGGTGCTGTGGCACGGCTGTAAATATATTATATTCATTTGGGATAACAGCACACACAGAAAGGTCATGACGAATGACCATTACTAACCAGGGCCTTGTTGTGGGTCAGGCTACGAAAACAGACATCAATCAGGGGCATACTCTGGTCATGATGTCATGCATTTACTATGTCAGACTACTGCTAATGTAGTGGCTTCAGCTGACAGAGAGTTTAGGTTAAGTGCAGGGAAAGTATTAAGAGTTTAAGATGAGTTGAAGGAGGCCTTTCTTAGCAAAAATGTGCACAGGGGAGAGAAAAGGAGATTTATGTCTTTGCGGAGCATCTATCTTTCACCACTTTATCATCTTGTTGTGAGGAGCAACATGAGATTAAATAGAACAAAATGTAATATCTCCCAAAGTGAAGCTTTTGCAGAAATCACTCTATTTTTGCAGAAGTTTCTGGAGCCAGTGGTTGGGTCATATCATGCCCAGAACGACACTGAGGTCCAAAGTCATAAATCAGGCCCATTGAGTCTGATGACATTTATTAATATTCACTCTCGTCAATGTGGCTGTGAGAGCAATAATGTTGGCAACATGCCTGTCGCCAAGGACACGCAGATGGGGTAAACAAAGTAAGGGGGATGATTATTTATGGGTTTCATCTCCTGATGGGAGCTATTAGAGAAACATGCAATGTTGTTGTTGGACTCACTGTGGCAGGAGGCAAGATGGAGTGTGTGTGTTTTGTTCAAATAAGCAATTCTCATTGACAGCAGGTTTTGCAGATGAATCTTCAAAACGGGATGTATTGCATAACTGAGATAAATCTGTTGTGGAATAGATTTTATCAGACACATGCATCAAAAAGAACAAGTCAGATGACAGCACTTTTTCTCTCCCCCCAGTCACATCCTCCAGGCTGTCAGAAAGGACCACCCGCCCTTCTCTGCCCCACCCAAAACACTCAGGACTCTGGACTTCCATTCCTGCTATTTTACTATTTTACTTACTGTTTTACTTTTTCTTTTTTCAAATACCCATAAGTATTGTTGCACACCATAAGTATTGTAATTGTATATTTATATTATGTAGATTGTATATTTTTTGTCTTTATCTTTTTTTTTTTTATCTTTTTTGCATTAGTAAAATGTTCATGTCTGTTGTTGTAAATTGATAATGTTTACTTTTAAGTATTGTTATATGTTGTTGTTGTGCCTGTGCTATCTGTTTTCCATCGTGGTGGGAGAGTGAAAAACGTCCTCTCGATTACCTTATGCATATATATGCTTATACCTTGTGCATGTGGAGTAATTGACAATAAAGCTGACTTTGACTTTGACTTTATTTAGGTGTAGTACCCTTGTTGCTTTGAATTGTCAGCAATGACAATGATATGATATATTAAAATAAGATAATGTATAATGTATAATGAATTGAATAATAAAGGCTCTCATAGTTTACATTTCTTACCATAGTTATCCAGTTTAAGATGAATTAGATGGAGCTTCTGGCAAGTTTGATGCTTCATTTCAGCAAAACATTTATTCCAAAAACAGAGATACTAAATGGCTCTCTGTGGCTCTGATCAAGATGACATCAGTAGGAAAAAATCACCATCACAACAAACAACCACATCATATGGAAACCTGATGCTGCTGGTGTCATGACAGAAATCGGGGGGGGCAGCAACAACAAAGATGAATTGACGGGAAAACTTCCAACTCCCTAGCGATGCTACCTAAACGGCTGCAAGAAATTGGGAGGAGGATGATGCGTTTGTTTGGCAAGGCACGCTCCATTCACCGGGACGAGTCATGGAAAATCCCTTTGAGCTTCCATCCCACCCAGAGTTAGTGTGTATTTACACAACCCCCAGGCGACCCTGCACAGGCCGGCCCAGACAGACAAATCCATCCCAGACAGAAGGAACGGAGGAACAAAGCAGGGCTGAAGGTCCACTCAGTCATCCCGCTAGAGGGAAGCCATCCCTGATCTTATCACTATGGTATGATGCTCTCAGGGAGAGATGATACCAAACTTGAGTCTGGTTCATGCTTCGTCACCACCAAAGATTATTTTCAGGTGATTAGTGTCTGTGTGCGTGTGCAGGTTACTTTTATCTGCTTATGTGAGTCACTGTCTCTAAGTGTGTCAGAAATGAATGTGTCTGCATCACTGTTATTGTACAAGTATGTGCTGCTACTGGCCCAATGAGACATAACACAATTCTTGTGGTCCTGCATGGGAATCTCCACTTCAGTCACATATCTGTTCATATTAGTTACAAAAAAATGTTGAAAAGACATTAATATGCTAGATATGCTGGATTCTATTCAGTTGATTGACCTGAAATTTGGTAAAGACATTCATTGTACCCAGACAATGGACAATAATGACCTCTGTGATCCTCTAGTGTGACCATAAGGTTGATGTTTGTGATTTTGGGTTAAATGTCTAAATTACAATTGCACTGATTGCCATGATACGCACATTCATGTTCCCTGCAGGATGAATTATAATTACTGAGGCTACCTTACCGTTCCTCTGGCTTTGTTTAAATATCTGCAAAAATGTATGCCAGCCTCAGCTGTACTTTCTGTTTAGTGCTAATTAGCATATGTTAGCATGCTAAACTGGGAACTGCCCATTGTTCTAACAGCCTGTTATTCCGAAAGAAAAAGAAAGGCCCTGTTTTCAGAAAAACAACAGAAAATAGTTTTTTTTTATTTTAATGTGCAAAGTCGGGTGACCTTTGTCTTCATGGTAACTATAATGTGATAAACACTGTGAAACAGACGCAGGCTGTCAAACTTACTATTGGTACAATGGGACATTTTTTGGACCATTGGGGTTTTGCAATAATGGGCTGCTGGAACAACAGTATAACACCGCTACACTATGGTGGACATGGTTAGCTTCTACAGTAAACATCAGCATACTAGCATTGTCTTTGTGCGCGTGTTAGCATGCTGATGTTAGCATTTAGCTCAAAGCACTGCTGTGTAGTACAGCCTCACAGAGCTGCTAGCATGGTTGTAGACTTTGTC